TGGGATTATAGGCGTGAGCCACCACGCCCTGCTTCTTTCTCTGATATTTTAAATATCTAAATAAATGGAAATCTTACCTACTCTGTTTTATTATATACTATATACATGCATTAAATTTTCACACAGGGGCTGGGGATTTAGCTCAGCGGCAAAGCGCCTGCCTGGCAAGCGCAAGGTCTTGAGTTCGGTTCCCGGTACCGGAGGGAAAAAAAAAAAAAAATATTTTCACACAATACCTAATTATAAAATTAAAATAATCATCATAACAGTACATTTACTTAAAAGAGACAATGCCTCATTAAAAATAAAGTTTCTTTCCCAGTTAAACATCCATATCTCCACATTTCCTATGTATGACAGATACATTTTTTGAAAAAAACAAGTTTCAAATTACATAAAAAACTTTCATACTAATTTTGCCTATCATCCCGTTTGTTTTAGATATTTATTTCCAATTTGTAGTACCATATAGCCTCCCATTAAACTTATTATAGCACAGTAATATAATTTTATCTTTACGAGCCTGACATCCTCTCCTACCTTTCCTAAAAAGGAAGCTTTATGAAATCCAAGCCTAAATGATAATAATTGTTATTTTACACCATGAATTTATGTCTTTCTCCATTTTATAAGACTCACAGGAAGGAGTCAATGAATATTTACGGATAAATTCAAAATTATCAAAATTCAAAATTATTATAAAGTATGATCATTCTATATTTTACTTTGAATTAAAAATGGAAATATAGTTTGATAATTGTATAGTAATTTTTAAAATTTCTTTTATATATGATAATAGAAAAACACATAAAATTTAAGCAATTACATCTAAGCTCAATTTAAAATAATACAAACAAAGGAAACATTTAAAACCTTAAATTAGTATCCTAACATCAAAATGCTGAAATAAATATTTCAATGTAAAAACTGGTAAGGGTACTCGAAATGATGAAGTAGAAAATGAATTAATTGCCTGTCTGTTAGCTAATACCATCTACAGTAAGAACATGTGCTTTCTAAAAAGAAGACATATGCCTTAGTTACCTGAATATGCCCTAGATTTAACCCAATATCTAGTTCACTGTAAGAAGTCAGCTCATGTTTGAAACGCATTAATGAACGAATCAATCAAGTACCTTCCCCAGAATGTTTAAGGATTGAAAATCATGCATAAAATATAAGGAGTACAATGTAGATATAAACAATCAAAAATATGGCACAGTAACTCTTGAATTCACTATTGTAAGAGGCTATACTTGCAGCTTTGTAAAATTTTTCATTCTGAACTGCGAGTGACATCAGAAAAAAATACTCTGTTTCAAAGAAATAAAATGTGCCTTCATACGGAGGTTTAGAAACAGTCTGCACAGAGACGTCTCCTTTTGATACTTTAAAGCGGAGACTCCTACGGTGACCACTGAACTGGACAGCCGGAGGAAGCACGCTGGTTCTGCTCCTTATGTTGCACAGGTGGAGGAAGGGGGCAAGGGTGGATCAGAGAGCCGGAGATAATATGATTCTAGTCGTTCCGCAGAATGATGACCTGGCATTGCCTGTCAGTACTTTCCGCAGTACTGACCGATCTGGAGTCTATCTATCCGCCTTACTATCAATTTGTCTGAAATCGCGCAGTAAAGAGTCACCATTTGTCCTCGCCGCCACTCTACCTTCCCCGCACTATCCACAGACACGCCCAGCTGTCCTTCCTCCCTCCTCGCTTCTTCCTGACCCTGCTCCCCTGTCAGCTGCCGCCTTTCAATACGGCCAGTCAGAATCAGTTCTGCCTCTGCAAGCATATTTTATTTTCCTGAAGCTATTTTTCCTACAAACTGCTTTTTATGCTGTATTGTTAAAAGCTTCCAAATGTAAAATATCTAAAATCCCATTCACATAAGCCAGTGATCCACTTTCTTTACTTGGAATGTTGTCTCAATTTTTGAAAGCATGAGCTTATTTTTAGGTAAAATAAGTGTCAGATGAGACTGTTTGCAAGTACAAGTCAGAACTGCAACGATATAAAACAGGGATGATGGGAATGTATGTAAATGCTAAAGCATTGCTCCTTACATCACCACTCAGGCAACATCTTCCCCTGTGAACAAGGAAATGCCTTCTGAGTCCTTAATAATACATTTTGGCCACATATATCATGTAAGATAACGTTTATACTCCCTGGGTTAAAAATGTATCTTTCAGCATGAGATTGAAAACAAAAGATTGCTTCACCTGTTTGCATGCAGCTTGAGGTACACTGCTGCTTTATTTTTACAATACTTAAGATTTTTCTAACAACAGATTTAAAATGCAACCACTGGAACCTAGATATATAAATGCAAGCATGCACATACCTAGACACACACACACATAAAACACACACATACACTCTCACACATAATTCTAGCCCTAGTTCCAGTCCTCAAAAATAAATTGTTACATTCAGTATTTTAGAGTATGCTACTATCAGACATTTCTAAATAAATAATGAAAGGGAAATTATACATATATATATATATATATATATCTGATATACTGAGGGTTTGTTCTTATTTGTCTCAGTGTTTAGGGGTATCATTTGAATGGGTTAAAATTAATCTGCACTTAAATGCATGAAAAAGTGTAAATGGTATTTTCATGTTTTAGTATGTGTTCAGTTAGGTTTAACTTTTAAATAATCATTTAAAAATAAAAGAAAAACTTGCTGTCCATTATAGGCAGAATAATTGTTCTCCAGAGCTGTCCACATTCCTAATTTCCAAATTCTGTGCATCAGTGGTGCTATGTGGAAAAAGGAATTGCAGGTTTCAAAGGAAACTATGATTGTTACTCATCTCAACTTGAGGTAGTGGTGATTATGCTGGGGTACCCAAGGCGGCCCGAGGCAATCACAAGGATCCTTAGATATGGGAGCAAGGAGAGTAAGCATTAGAGTA